GCCCCCCTGCCCTGGCCGCCCGCGCCGGGCCGCAGCGCTGCCAGCTCCCCCCGGCAAGCGCCGCGCGCCGCGCGCACCCAGACCTCTTCTCCTCTCCCATCCCCACAAAGGGGCCCATTATAACAAAAAAGAAGCAGTGTTGCCCCTCCCCCAGACTTCCTGAAAACTTTTTAGAGGGAAGAAAAAAAAAAAAAAAAAGCTCCGGCTTCCAAGCTGTCTGGCGTGCAGGGCTGGCCCAGCGCTGGCCGCGCTGAGGCACGGGCGGAAGGGGCTGGTTTGGGGCGGGCTTTGGCTCGTGCGGGCGGCTGCTCCGAGGGCAGGAGGTCTCTGCCTCGTAGAGCACCCACCTCTGTGGGAGCCTGTGCCCTCCCTGCAGAGGAAGAAATGTAAGGAGTGTTACTGATTCAAATAATCCTTGCTAAAGCTTCCCTGCTTTAGTGTGCCTGAAAACTGTCTTTCCCCTCCCCACAAAAGACAGAATCTGTATTTGGCAGCTTTTAAAATTGTTCATTTGCATTACAATAAATAAAGCAGAAGCCATGTGCTGAGTTCAGGCCTGGAAACCCTCCCTGAGCACAAATGCTTCCGAGTGGTGATTGCTGTTGGATAGATTGTTCAAGTTTCATTGATGGTGAGGTTTTCTGTCTTGTATTCATTTTCATCTAAGTACAATATTGAATTATCTCCAGCCTGCTTTAGGCTTAAGAAGCAGCCATAGTGAGGAAGTACAGAAAATGGCTTGAAATCCTGGCTGATGCTCTAACTTTACCGGACAGGCTTTTGGGATGTACGCAGAAAATACACAAAGTTTCTTTGTTAGGCCAGTTATCTCTACATGAAGCTGTAGTGTCTTCTGTGGGAACAGTGTCTGAAGTACAGAGTATATTAAAAGCTGCTTTGGAATTTCTTATGGTGATTATAAATACTATTTGCGTTTACACTTCTGTAACTAAAGAGACAGTTTTCTTGATTGAAAATTGTCACTGTGTTGCTTCAGTTTTGTGTTCACTTAGTTGCCAATCACTTAAATGGAGACACATCAGTGTGAAAAAGAAGCGGGGAGTCAAGTACGTGCGACTTCTTATGGCCATCCAGAGGTCTGACTTCTGAACTAATTTAGCTTGCATAACTGATTCTACTTAAAACAGAAGGAGATGCTCTTCTAAGAGCTGTTGCCTTTGCAATAAGGTATTTTCCTTGACCATTAAACTCTCAATGTTTAAACCTAAGTGTTCCTCATTACAAAACCAAGATTATTTCTCTGAGTCACTGAAATGAGTGCTGGCCAACTGACATCCTGATATAAGAGAATACTACTTAAAAAAAATTCCCATAAATAATTAATTAAACTAAAGGCTCTCCCACAGCATAAATCACCCACTCAGGAAATGCCTGAGTAAATAAACAGATGGACATGCTAAATGCACAGACACATTGTGGCTTTGGAAAGATTGTGATCGATGGGGCAGTCCATTCCTGTGATGCTACGATTTGGGAAAGATGCTTTGCTGGTAGCTGGGTAGTTCTGCACGTTAAAAACAGTTTGCTGTTGAGCTGTTTAACAAATAAGCTGTTTAAGAGAGTAATTGCACCAAAGGGTAACCTGCACTCTGCATGGGTGCTCATGGCAGCCCTGAGTGCAAAGGCTGCAGTTTGACTCTGCGCTGCTGGCCAGTGCAGCAGAGTGACAGTGCAGGAGGCTGAGGGGATGTGTATCACGGGTATGAGGACTTTTGCTCTGTCTAGCTAAGCAAGATCTTATGCCCGGACTTGAAAGACTACATTTTAGATGTATCTGTAGGTGTCTTGTGGAGTAGCTGGCTTGGGACCCCAGAACTTGACTTAATCTTCACTGTCTCAGGGGATGTGATTTAGGGAGTAATAGCTGAAGAGCACCCTCCCTGCAACAGAGATCTCATGTGCTTAGTGGATTCAGCACCCCTACAAGAAACAATGATCAACTCTGGCAAGTTCCCATGCTGGGCATGATGTGGTAGCATGAGGCAGCACTCAACCCCGTATAAAAGCTTGCAAAATTAGTGCCTTCTCTTTCTCACTATGTCATATTTACCAGTGCTTTTACTATTTCTGTTCTTTTTTATATTTTCTGCTGATTCTTACAGCTATCACACCAGCTAGCACAGGATAGGGAGTCCTTGAGGAGAAACACTGTATGTATTTATCCTGTTCCTTATACTCTTCCCTTGAACATGGGCTTACGAATACTGTTAGCGGCAGACAGAGGGATGGATGGATCTTTACTCTAAGCCAAGATGGCTGCATTACTTTCCAGTTTCTAAGGAAGCTGAGTCTGGAGCGAGAGGAAAACAGTTCATGGATATGGTAGCCTGGCAGTATGAGTTGGATCTGAGCTCAAAGCAAGACTGGTGTCTGTAAGGAAATCTCTGTTAACAACATTCCTTCTCCTCCTCCGCCTTTTCTCTGTCAGGAAATTTTTCCTTGTGAAAGCTGAGAATTGCCTTCCTCTGGGAGCCTTTGTGAATTAGATGCCTCTGGATGAGCTACTGCACTTCTGCAAATTCTGGACATTGGCATGAGCCTGTAGTGATATTGCTGGGTTTTTCGTGTAAGGTACCTTGTCTGTAGTCACATCGCAGTCAAATGCAGCAAGTCATGTGCATTTGGGAAGCATGAAATGTTACTGTACTCTTGCCTGCACCTCGTCGTGTTCTGCAGGAGTAGTAAATCCGGTGTTTGAAAAACTGTGCCACAGAATCTTTGCATGTGTTTTGATCTAATATTTGCTTCTAGGGTAAGTTCCTATTCTAATTTCATTAAACAGACCCAGGAACTGTAACAGATACTGAGAAGACCCAGTTCCCAAGAGAGGAACAGAGGATGGGGTGAACACAAATCAGCAGTACTGGGCTGTTGTGGACAGTCACCTTACCAGGTGGAAGCAGAGGCAAAACCTACCAAGGGCCTGTTCCCCTCTGTGCAGGAAGGCCTTAGTGCTGTCCTACTTTGGTACAGCTCTTCCAAGAAACCATGTCAATCCAGGAATGCAGGAGCGAGGAATCCCGTGAGAAGAAATCTGGTACTGAAGTAATCTTGTGAAAAAGAGCAGTGTTGAAAAAGCTGTAACCCTCTGAAAGCAAACTTTGTGCTGAACTTTAAACTCATCAAAGTAAACTGTCTCAGAATTTACTCATATTACGTGTTTATAAACTTGAACGTTTTGTCTGTGACTTGGACCTAGTGGTTATTAGGTATTTTCAGTTCAAGAGAGACTTGTAATTTAATTGGCACTAATCATAATCAAAGAAATAATTAAAGGACATGAAGCAAGAAACTGAAAGAAACTGGAGATGAAAATGGGTTGTAAACCCAGTGTGCTCAATAGACACAGTGTCAGTCTGTGAAGGAGATGCCCTGGGCTTTATAAACAGACCTGTAGCCTGCAAGAGATGAGTTATCGCTTCCACTTTCCTTGGTGCAGGGAAAGACCTCGGCTAAACTACCCTAATCCAGGTGTCGTATTTCCAAGAGAAAACTGTCTGGATAGAGGGTCCAGAGAAGCACAGGACTGCTGAGGAAAGCATAAGAGGATGCTGTGCCTCAGTCTAGAGCAGAGAAAATGGAGAGGAGAAGTGGCCAAGTATTCAGGAAGCTGTGCAGGAAGGCCAGGAATAGCCTCGTTCCCAGTCCCAAAGCACAGGGAAGGAAGTCAAGGGCTTAAAAAAACAGCAAGAAAGATCACAATTAGGTATCTGGATACGTGTCCTGACAGGAAGCAGAGTGAAGCGCTGAAATAGTGCAGAGAGATGTCAAATCTCCATTGTGGCAGGCTTTTAAGCCCAGATTAGGGAAACATCTGTCAGGAGTGACAGCAGTGTAGCTGATCACGCTTTGGGGCAGA